CGACGATGGTGATGATGATGGTGGTTGTGATGATGATGATAGAAAAAAGAAGAGAGAGGATGATGATGATAGTAACGATGATGTGATTGATAATCCGCCTTCTGCTGATATGTTTGGCAACGTCATTTTTAATGATAACTTTGATGATGATGTAAATTGTGGTGGTGATGATGATGAAATTTGTGGTGGTAATGATGATGTAATTTGTGGTGATGATGATGATGGTGATGATGATGATGATGGTGATGATGATGATGATGGTGGTGGTGATAGAAGCATCGACAATGATAAACAAAAAGATGGTAACTCCAACAACGCTGATGATGATGATGATGATGACGTCAATTGACAGAGTGGTGCATGGGAATGTGGTAGTGGTAAGAACGATCTTGGCGGTGATGATGATGACAAAGAGGATGATGATGAAGAAGAAGATGATGATGATGATGGTAATAACGATAAAGTTGTTGTTTTTGTTGAAGATGATGACGATGATGATGGCAATGACGATGAGGATGATGAAGAAGATGATGAAGATGACGACGACGATGATGATGATGATGTTCCTCTCCCTCCCTCCATCAACCTGCCATCTGGTGATTCAATTGCGTCCCGCAATGACGAAATTAGGCTGAGTAAATTAGACAGGTATGCACGGGGTAATGGTGGTGATGATGGTGATGATGATGATGATAATGTTGTTGCTGTTGGTGATGGTGAAAATGATGTTGTTGCTGGTGATAATGTTGTTGTTGGTGATGATGATGATGTTGTTGTTGGTGGTGATGATGATGTTGTTGTTGTTGATGATGTTGTTGTTGGTGATGATGTTGTTGTTGTTGGTGATGATGATGTTGTTGTTAGTGATGATGATGTTGTTGTTGGTAGCGGTAATGATGGTGATGATGATGATGATAATAGTAGAGAGGTTAAATCGAGGTTTGGCGGCGAAGATGAAGATGGCAACAGTGAAATTTCAAATATTGCAAAATGAGTTACACGTTTTGGCAAGTGTGACAATGAAAATGAGGAAGATGATGATGATGATGATGATGGTAATGATGATGATGATAATGATGATGATGATGGTGATGATGATGAGGTAGCGGTTTTAATCAGATACGACACTGGTGAAAATAGTGATGGTGAAGCTGATGATGATGATGGTAACGATGATGATGATGACGATGATGATGTTGATGATGTTGATGATGATGTTGATGATGGTGATGCGGTTTTTGAAGACATTTGCAAACATGGGAACGGCCACCACCCTTCACCATCAGCATCTTCATCTTCACCATCACTTGTGCTTCTTAAAATGATGATGAAACAAATGTTTCTCGAGACATTCTCCTCTCTGCTGTTCTTCATTTTGAAGCCACATTGAAGAAAATCAACATTGAAATCGGCGGAACAAAAAACTTCAAAGTAGCTTGTATCATTGCCACAACGGCTGCCGACCTTTTTGAATATATCGCCAGTCTTTAAAATGTTTTCAAGAAGTTTGTAATGCTTATCTGCGCATTTGAAGTCCATAGTTTGGTGTTTGCAATCGTTTTGAAGGCGATCGTGTTTCTTTGTTAGCAGTTCATGTCAACATTGAATCCGACAACATTTTTCAGTCAAAAAAGTTGGCAACTGTTTTTGGGAAGTCGAAAAAATTAGTTTTTTTCGTTACAAATGAATTCATTAAGTTGCTGCACCACCACCACCACCTCCACCACCACCACTGCCACCAATCCGTCCATCAACATCTGCACGCGCTCCACTTCATTCACCCCTTGCTGCACAGGAGAACAAAACTAACAGATTGAAATAACTTGGATGCTTCAACATCAGTGGAACCTCCACTATGCATGACACTAACAACTTAATAACAACAACAATAACAAGGGCAACTAAAATAATGATGATGATGATAATAATAATAATAATAATGATAAAAATAATAATAATAATGATGATGATGATGATAAAAATATTAATAAAAATAATTAGTACCAGCAACAACAGCAGCAGCAGCGATTTATAACCTCAATGAAACGAATAATGCTGAATGCAACACAACCACAATACAACAACAATAAAGCATAAGAACAAAATACAACACATCAACAACAACTCAATAACGACCATACCACACGACACCACACAACAAATCAATAACGACCACACGACGCCACACGCACCACACATTAGCAACCCCATTCAGCATGAACGTACAAGAATGACTAACCCCGAGTGTTCCTCCAGCGTTGGATCATTGGTGTTCATGTTGTCTGGCTCGCAATACAACGTGCACTATGCAGCGAACTAATTGAAATATGATTAACAATAATTATTTTCAAGCTTCAACAACAAGATCAACAAAACTAAAATTATTTATCAAATTGATAACAATTTATTTAAAATTAAAGAAGGGTCCTAATGGAGCCCAACAAACTATGTCGTAAAATGCAGTCTCCAACCAACTACAACAACGACCACAACAACCACAACGACAAACACAACGACAACAAATGACTACAAGAGATTATTTCTGCATATTCGTCAGCAGGCAGGATCCGGAGCCATCAACATTCAACACACGACGAAACAATACAACATCCACGCTTCCATGCCACGTAACCTTCCACACTTCAAAAAATATTTATACAATATGTGCCCTCCGCTTAAAAATTACTCCTTAATCGGGCTTATATATATATATATATATATATATATATATATATATATATATATATATATATATATATATATATACATTCATATACATCACATGCATACATTTTTGTATACATGAGCACATGTCTGGATGCCTGCCTATGTTGGTTAGAAACATCAATGAATGCATACAATATGATATTGCGGTTATATAGGTATGTGTGTATATACAACACATACACTCTG